CTGGTTTTTATCAACAGTAGGGAAAATTTGATACGGTCGGGTTCCTATCCGCGACTTGAAAACCCTTTGGGAGAGTGGGAACTTCAAGAGTCGTTTCAAGCTCCGTGCCCTCCTCTCCAAGGCGGTCCCCAGGTTCCCCGGAGTCTCTAGGTCTATACTCCGGGTGACACTGGCGCTTTTGCCCAGCGCGGTTCTAAGGCAACCGCACTCTCAGCAAACACCCCCCTTCTACCGCCGCTGCCCCAGAAACAGCCGGGGACGGGCCGGGGAATCAGGTGTTGGATCTCGGTCTCCGCCCACTCCTCACTACTCCCCGCCCCCCGCCCCAAATCACTACTCTTGGGGGATAGGGGCGCTGCCTCCGGGTACCTGAATCCCTCTGCGTGGTGGCGCTGGGGCTGGGGGAGGAGGGCGGCGGCTCCTGATTCTGCCCTCGGACCCCCAGAGCCGGCTGCCCTTGCGTGACCGGACCCTTCGCCCCCCATGCCCTGCCTCCCACACGATGCCGAGCTGTCCACCCTGGTGGCTGCTACTGCTGCTCTCGCTGTGGGAGCCGCTGCTCCGGAGGGCGGAGGTGAGAACCCGAGGAGCCAAGGAGCTCAAGGCTTGGAGGGATGTCTGGGGCCGGCTTTTAAGGCTTATCCCACTGGGAAGATTGGTTTAAGACCTCCCCGCCTCCTTCCCGTAAATTTCCTGAAGGTTTTCAGTTTCCCACAGCAACTCCCCTGGTGGTTTCTAGGCACCCCTCAAGACTTAGAAGAGGTTTCTAAGCCACCCAAGACTCCTGAGCAAAACAGGACAGCCCCTCCAAGTCCCTCTAGGGTGTTTCTGGCCCTCAGGAACCACGCTGCCTGGGAGCAGGGGTCAGCGCGGGGCGGGATTGGGGGGTCCTCCCTTCTCTCTTTTTGTAGGCAGGCTCTGACGGGCCGACGGCGGGAGAGCTGTACCAGCGCTGGGAACGGTACCGCAGGGAGTGCCAGGCGACACTGGAGGCTGCGGCGCCCCCAGCAGGTGTTACAGGGGTGGAGATCTGGGGGCAAGAGAAGGGCTGGGGCTGAGAGGGGTGGGCTTGAGGCCGGCCTAGGACTGATCCGCGGGGCCTGAGAGAGAAGTCTGTGTTAAATGTGGGCGGCATGGGAGAGGCCCGAGATGAACCTTGAAAGGGGAGGGGTCTTGGGCGGGGCCTACACTAGGTGGGTGGGACCTAAAGTGGACCGCGAAGAGGGAGTTTGGGGTGGGGCCTAGGAAGGGCCTTGCAGAGTGGGAAGCATCTGCGGCGGGAACTTGCTTGGTGGGAGGAGCCCAGAGCAGGGCTCTGAAGGTGGGCGGGGCCTTGGGGTCTGGTGGGAGGAGCTGTGACGGAGCAGGGACCCGACCACTCCAGGTGGGCGGGGCTGGGGCAGGGCTTGTGTGTGGAAAGCGGAGAAGCATAGGACGAGAGGTACAGAAGGTCCACCTGACATCTGGCCCCCACGCCCACCCCAGGCCTCGCCTGTAACGGGTCCTTTGATATGTACGTCTGCTGGGACCACACTGCACCCAATGCCACTGCCCGTGCGTCCTGCCCCTGGTACCTGCCCTGGAACCGCCACGGTGAGCTGCCTCGTGGACACCGGGCCCTCCCCTGACACAAACAGCTCTCTTTTAACCCTGGCCCCAGACACCACTGCCCCGCAGCAATCCTGCTCCTCTTTGTCTGGCTGGGTGTCTCCTTCTGTCTGTCCACCCCTGGCTGGGTCACCACATAATGCCCCTTCTCCGTCTCTGTATCTCTCTGAGGACCACCAGGTTCTTATTTTCTCTCCTTTTCATGAGTCTGTTTCTGCACATCTTGGTCTTCCTTGCCTAATTAGCTGTGTGACCTAGGGTAGTTTATTTAATTTCTTTACGTCTCACTTTCCTAGTTTGTAAAATGATGTTTATGATAGTACCAAGTTCACAGGCTTGTTATGAATATTAAATTAATTGATACGTGTAAAATGCTACACAAGGGTTTATCATCATCATATCACTGGATCTCTCTCTGCCTTCGTCTCACAATTTGTCTTTCTGCCTCCATCTCTGTGCCTCTGATCCCCTCCCTTGTTTCCCCACAGTGGCTGCAGGCTTTGTCCTCCGCCATTGTGGCAGTGATGGCCAGTGGGGACCTTGGAGAGACCATTCTCAGTGTGAGAACCCAGAGAAGAATGGGGTTTTTCAGGTAAGAAGAGGTGAGGGATTCAGGGTAGGATGTCCAGACATAGGCAGAAAGCAGCCTCAGACAGAGCCTCAAACCCCTGGTACTGCACTGTTCAGGACTCTGGGTTCCAAGTGATAGAAATTCAGCTCCTTGTTTTTTTGTTTTGTTTTGTTTTGTTTTGTTTTTTTGCGGTACGCAGGCCTCTCACTGTTGTGGCCTCTCCCATTGTGGAGCACAGGCTCCAGACGCGCAGGCTCAGCGGCCATGGCTCACGGGCCTAGCCACTCCGCGGCATGTGGGATCTTCCCGGACCGGGAAACGAACCCATGTCCCCTGCATCGGCAGGCGGACTCTCAACCACTGCGCCACCAGGGGAGCCCCAGCTCCTTGTTTGAAGGAGAAAGAAAAAGAAATATATTGGCTTCTGTGATTGAAAAGTATAAGGCTACAGCTTCAGGCACAGCTGGATCTGGGTGCTAAAATGATGTGGTTGGGAATCTCACCATACTGTTCCTTTGTTTTTCTGTATGATGGTGTCCTCTTTTCTGTGGGGTGGAAAAGGTGGCTCTCACTGGCATCAGGCTCACATTCCACCTACCAAGCAACAATGTAGGAAGACTGAGTTTTTTTCTCAATAGCTCTAACTTTATGTCCCAGGACTGACTGTCATTGGCCTGATTTGGGTCATATAACTGCCCTCGAGACTAATCATTGTGTGAGTGTGTGTGTGTGTGTGTGTGTGTGTGTGTGTGTGTGTGTGTGTGTGAGTGATGTAGTGTTAGATAGAATGGTTTGATTGGCTGGTCACATGCCCAGACTTGGAGTTGAGGGGCAGAGTGCCCCACTCAGACAATGGTAGGTGGATCCCCAAAAGAACACTGGGGTGTGGGGTAGGAACAAAGAGCAGATATCTCTCCAGCACCTTTATGGGCCCAGGGGAAGAACTGAGCTCTATTTCTGTGTCCTCTTGCCCCACCCCCAGGACCAAAGGCTGAGTTTGGAGCGGCTGCAGGTTGTGTACACCGTGGGCTACTCCCTGTCCCTTGCCACACTGCTGCTCGCCTTGCTCATCTTGAGTTTCTTCAGGTGGGACCCCCAGCCCTGAGCGGAGGCAGCAGAGACTGGGCTTCAGTTTTCCCAGTAAGATGGGGTAGTCAGGCTCCACCGGCAACAAGCATTCAATGGTGGTTCTGTGGGAAGGGCTGGGGGGTAGTTTAAGGGACTCTGTGTGGCCAAGGCCAGGTCCCCACACTGCCTTCCAAATCCCCCAGGCGGCTGCGCTGCACTCGCAACTACATCCACATCAACCTGTTCACGTCTTTCATGCTGCGGGCAGCAGCCATCCTCACCCGAGACCGTCTGCTTCCTCCACCTGGCCCCTACCCTGGGGATCAGGCTCCTATCCTGTGGAACCGGGTGAGCACCGTCTCTCTCTTTCTCAAATTGGGATTCTCTCTCCTCTGGTGAGGCCAGAGGGTTCCCATTCCATTTACTACCTCCTACCCTATCGACAGTTAATCTCTCTTGACCCTTCCAACACAATTGGAGAGGGACCCTCCCAACTCGGCCTCCCCCATCATTGAACTCTCCCACCCCATCACCTCCTCTATTGGAATTTTCCATTCCCGTTCTCTCAGTATCTCACCCATCGTTGGACTTTCGCACCAATGAGAGAATCCCCTGCTAGAGGTGAGACGGTGGCAGGATGGGAGAAACTAACTAGTGGGGGGATTTGGTAGATACCAATTTTTTCCTGAGAGACAAGGTGGGAGAGACTAAAGTCTAGGGACAGCGGGGAGAAAACCTATTAAGTTGGGCCATACCAATCGTTAAAAAGCCAAGGGGTGGGAGAGTCCATATGCTGGCGGGACATGAAAGAAAACTTTTGAGAGGTGGAGTAGTTGAGTGGAATTCTTAGAAGGAGATGGGGTGGGAGAGGCCATATTTGGGGGGATCTGGGGGGAACTCTGATAGCCAGATGTAAGATACCAATTGTTAAAGAGGTTAGAGTGGGGGAGTTCA